CGATCAGAAATTGCGCGTACTCGCCGTGTAAATATGGGTTTTGATTTGCACTTTTTACTGATTTGCGAGCCATTTGTCATCTTGAATTGTCTTGTTGTTGAGATTTCATATCTCAATTGCATTCGAAATGTTTGGTATTTTAAAGAAGGGGTATTGTGTGGAGGAGGTTTATAATGCAGCGAATAAAACCAGCATTGGATAATTATGGTAAAAGACCAGAAACTGTGCATCGAACTCGTTTATTTAAAGGCTTTAAGTATACCTTTTCTTCAGACATTGACGGCGTCTCAAATGTCTACATATTTGTAATAAACCTATAAAGGATTATTGCGTCTGTCTGTCTTAGGAGTTATATAGTGGAATAATTCAGCATGATTTGTCTCACGTTCTCTTATAAGTTGACTAATATTGCATTAAAAGTGGTAAAAGTTGGTGTGCTAACCAAGATTTCAGTGTATTTGTTTGCTAATATTGCTAGGCCTATATCTCAAACGCTATTTGCCTATTAAAATATCATATGACACGCAATTTTAATTCCACGGCAAAACTGCTGTTGCGCAAATAACAAACGCGAGATTAAATATATATGGCAGTATTACAGTTTAGTAATATTGCATTAAAAGTGGTAAAAGTTGGTGTGCTAACCAAGATTTCAGTGTATTTGTTTGCTAATGTTGCTATATCTCAAACGCTATTTGCCTATTAAAAATATCATATGACACGCAATTTTAATTCCACGCGAGATTAAATATATGGCAGTATTACAGTTTAGGTATCTTTTAAATTGCTAATAGATCACACGGAAACTTTTTACAATCGTTATATTCAAAAGCCTAGCGTGCAAATTCACATATTTGTGTTTATTCAAGTGTTATTCATGAATTCGCTATTTACATGGGAAGCGACGAGATATGACACGGTATTTTTCAAGTATACCGTGAAACTCCACTGACAAAATGAGCCCGCACAAGTGGGAGAAAATTTGCGCATTCTGACCATCGTGGTGTGTCTTCTTATTACTATTAAATTTAAAGTTAACCAGCATGGCAGGCTTTCTGGATTTGGAGGAGGGTTTGGGGAGTTAAAGTTTACCAGGCTAGCCACATGTACGCATTGCGTACCTATTTTTATAAAATAAGAATACTTAACTCTTTCAGATCAGTTAACAATATATTGATAACTTAATATATAGCCAAGTATTCGATCTATTGGTTGGATTAAACAAATGACAGGTAATATTAGATTAAGAGTCGTTTATTAAGAAACTTTTTAACAGCAACTAGTGCATTTGATTGCATTTCCGGGGCTCTGGGAAGTCTCAGATTTCAAAATTTCCCAGGGGAGTATGCCCCAGGACCCCCCCCCCCTAACAAACTCACGCCTTCGGCGTTTGCTATAGCCCCCTAATCCAAAAATGGTTCCGCGGTCCCTGAGCATGCCGTCAGATCCCCCAAGTTGCAACTCCTACTCTTCCCAACGCAACATCTACTGTGAAATGTTTTGAAACCACTGCGAATCCAAAGGGTATATAATATTGAGAGATATTGAGAGTTTCATTTGTTTATATTTCATGTTCTCATTGGCAGTACAACCCACATAGCCAACCGAGAGCAAAACACAAGCAGAAGGAACAGTTGTATCTACAATGCTGACAATCTTAAAAACCTGCATGAAGTATTTGATCATTTTTTATTATTTTATACAAGTGGTATAAAAGAACAAATTATGTAAAACATACTCTCTCTCTAATAATGGAGTTGATGTATGGAACTCACTAGAATAAAAAATAAATACATAAACTCTCAATACGTCTTCAAAAAACAAATTAAGCAGCATTTTTTTATGAAAACATTCTATTTGCATATTATCCTGTATCTTGCAACATGCATCTACAGATATATTTTATCTTATATTTGTGTTCTAGTTAATTTCCACTTTATCGTTCCTCTATTACTCTGAAAATTCTCTCTCTAATTTGACTGTAAAATAAAATAAAATAATATACTATAATATAAAATGTCATGGTCTTGTCAATGGGGCATTTGGCAACATGAATTATATCAACAATCCTCAGCTCTCATCAATTATATCCTCTCATCTTTGTATTTATCAATATATTCAACATCCACTGCCTTCACTCGTAGAATGTAGCATTCCATCATCAAGATGTGGCCATGTCCCTGCCTTGTTGTTTTGAAGGTAGTTAAGAGCATCCAAGACTCTGCTCGCAGGGTAGTCTTGGATGCTCTTTTTGTTAACTAATTCACTACGGTCTCGCTGGTGATTTCTCAGGGACAAGGTTTGTCGACATCGAGACAACACAATTTTGGGCTCAGTTTCTTCGCTAGCATTTGTTTGACCGAATTCGATCTTCGCATCTCAGGAATTGTATTGTATTGTTGAATTAGTAATACAATTTACTATAAATATTGGGAATCAGGCACGGGTGATCACTTAGTGCTGCGTAATCACTATGTCGCTCATTTCTGGCCATGATGACTATTTGCAATATAATCTCAAATGAGAACATAAAATATAAACAACCGAAACTCTCAATATCTCTCAATATATACCCTTTGGATTCGCTTACTTTCATAAGTTTATCTCTTATATCCATGTCATATAAAGGTGAGATTGACATTGGTATCAGGTTACACTCTCGCATCTGGACGTCTTTCTTCTTTCCCCACGCCTTTGTTGTCTTGTTTTTAAACATGATTCTTTTGAAATGTTGTTTTGTTTAAACAAACAGAGACGTAAAAGCCCTGTTTTCGGCGTTTCGTTGTCGTGAATCCAATGTAAACAGCTCGCCGAAAGGTGTCGAATAAATCGGCATATTCACGGACTTCCCCCAGTGAATCAGATTCCATTGAAATCTTTACCAAATGTTTGAAAATACACAGATCAGCCAGAATACAAAAACTTGGACTATCTTTTAATATAGCATGAGAAAATCAACAAAATGTCCACACAAAATTATCGCTTACTCATTAGTAAAATCACAGGTAAAATATATGGCAGCCATGGCTGGCCGCGCGCTCGCCCCAATGTTTTTGCACCCCCGGCAATATGGCGGAATAAGCCTTGAAAGGGCCTATTCCTCATGTGTATCGATCAGTGATTGCACTGACCTTCTGTGTTAAACTTTCTTCCATGTTCTGTAGTTCTTTCTGTTTAGTTTTCACATCGGATTTCTGTCTGTCGTAAGTCTCTCTAAAGAGTAGATTTGTAAATTAGAATACGTCAATATCAATTAATATCGTACATGGAGAATTATATCAAGAAAGAAGTAAATTAGCAAAATTGTAGAAAATATATCAACAGGTCAATTTGATATTGGTCATACAACCATACAGAAATGAGGTTGGATTTTATTGCCTGGGCTCTTTAAAACAGCGCATTGCATCATTTTCATTCAATTGCAGACGCAGTAAAGCCTGCAACTACAATTTGATCCTCTGTAATTTAACTACAATTGTTTCATCTACATGTACATCTACATTTATTAAGTCGGTAAAATCTATAGGGATATCTGTACTCACTTTAATGTCATGAGTGTACTCTCCAGTCTTTGAAGTTCACCTAAAACGCCTGTAATCACGCCATCAATTTCTGTGATCGCGTTAAGGTGCATTAACATCATGGTAACATTATGAGCGAAGAACCTATATTTCAATATTTTTTTTTACTTTTGTGGACATTTGAAATTAATTGAATTGGTAAGAACGAATCTTAAATGCTCAATTATGATGTAAGTTATTTACACTTTCTCGGTACCTGCATGTTTTCGAGATATCGAAGCGTCACTACCAAAAAACACGACTTTTGGTCTATGTAATGTCTGGGTCATCCTAATAAGAAATGTAAAATATTATCTTTACAAAAAACCTCACCTTGGTTAATTTTTTCACTGTTAAAGTTGCCGGATGTGATGCCATTAGATGAATTTTTGGAGCAAAATACATATAAGAAAACTAATTTAGAATTGCCTCAGATTTGACTGCCACTGAATAATGGACAAAACAATCACTCATAGAAAATGGAAGAGAACAATGACAAGATTATAAAATATGAAGACCTATTGTAGATGATCGCTATATGCTATTTTGCAAATTGAAGTTATCGTGTACGGTACAATATACAGATTTTTAGAAGCGTCCGAAAGGTGTTAATTTAACAGAGATGTCCATGTGATGCCATTAGATGAATTTTTGGAGCGAAATACATATAAGAAAACTAATTTAGAATTGCCTCAGATTTGACTGCCACTGAATAATGGACAAAACAATCACTCATAGAAAATGGAAGAGAACAATGACAAGATTATAAAATATGAAGACCTATTGTAGATGATCGCTATATGCTATTTTGCAAATTGAAGTTATCGTGTACGGTACAATATACAGATTTTTAGAAGCGTCCGAAAGGTGTTAATTTAACAGAGATGTCCATGTGATGCCATTAGATGAATTTTTGGAGCGAAATACATATAAGAAAACTAATTTAGAATTGCCTCAGATTTGACTGCCACTGAATAATGGACAAAACAATCACTCATAGAAAATGGAAGAGAACAATGACAAGATTATAAAATATGAAGACCTATTGTAGATGATCGCTATATGCTATTTTGCAAATTGAAGTTATCGTGTACGGTACAATATACAGATTTTTAGAAGCGTCCGAAAGGTGTTAATTTAACAGAGATGTCCATGTGATGCCATTAGATGAATTTTTGGAGCGAAATACATATAAGAAAACTAATTTAGAATTGCCTCAGATTTGACTGCCACTGAATAATGGACAAAACAATCACTCATAGAAAATGGAAGAGAACAATGACAAGATTATAAAATATGAAGACCTATTGTAGATGATCGCTATATGCTATTTTGCAAATTGAAGTTATCGTGTACGGTACAATATACAGATTTTTAGAAGCGTCCGAAAGGTGTTAACAGAGATGTCCAAATTTGTCTTCCACTATTGCTACCTCTCACTGGTTTAATATACGCATTTGAATCGCGCAGATTAAACGAATCTGATAGTAGCAGTTACGGATGTCTCTATAATGAGATAATTGGCCGTCGCCAAATTCTAGAATGGCTGCCCATCAGACAGCAGGCTGCTAAGACCATGGTCAAATGACTTAGCGATCACAAGCCAAGGTACAGTATCCGTGGTGCGCCGTGAAAATATGTATTGAAAAGGATACGTTCAAGTTGTTCTCGGACTTCCCCGTGACGCGCTCGGTAAGTCTCGATCTCCGTATTAACTTCCTGTATAGAACGCTGGGAATCTAAGCGTGATTTTCTTGTATCGTAATAACCTCCAGTCAGAGCTCCACGGCGACTGACCTGATCACCTACAATATGAAGTATAGAATTAAATTATTCGCTTATATTCTTTCCCCACGCGCACATTTATTAGGCGAAATGCAATTAGCCATTTCCCAAAGTCCTGCATGGTCTAGTGCGCGAATCCCATGTTGGAGGGACAAGAAATATGGCAGCGGACATTTAAATTAACTGTTTAATGTAAAAAGAGATATTTCATTCCTGGTCGTCTAAAAAGTTGATATTTGATAGTAGATATTTGATAGTAGATATTTGATAGAAGATATCTAATAGAAGATATTTGATAGAAGATATTTGATAGAAGATATTTAATAGTAGATTTGTCCCTCCAAACGATCCCCAGAATGCATTGTGATCTCTTTTGGGAAAAGACTAATTCTGAACTGACGGTGTGCGATTTTTTTCTTTGAAGCTACTTGAAGCATCAATGATCAAGAACCAAATAATTTGAGAGAGCTTCGTGAGGCAATTGTAACAGCATGGATCCTGCCACCTGGATCCCCAGATGATCTGAAATTTCTTCGACTGCATGCTCACACGGGCAAGAAATTGCATTACATGCATTTCCTAATAAGTTGCATTTTTTTGGAAAACGAACGAATACTTTTCGACTGCAGTGTAACTACGCACTCGACATTTCCAGATACGTTAACTCAATTTTAAACGCAGTTATCTCAGTCAATACTGTATTAAAATACACACGCTATAGACCTTATTCATAAATCGCAATCGAGGCCTCGTATCCTAGGAAACGGGAATAAACGCGGGAAAACAAGCGAAAACTGCTTCGCAAGCCAAACTCAGATGCCATTGGGTCGGCCTGTTTCTTGTTGCTTATTTCGATTTATAACGATTTGTGTGTGTATCTTAAGTCAGATTTTGTACCCACAACGAAAGCTGTAAACGAGTATATTATAAAAACGACCGGTTTTTATCCCTTTTTTGTGTGGAAAATGTGAAAATGTCACAACGTAGCGATGGTGTTTATCCAGAAGCGAAAAATAGTAGCTGTAGTAAAACATAGCCGGCAGTTAAAGATCTTTTTATCACTTTTCCCGCGTTTATTCCCGTTTCATAGGATACGAGGCACCGATTGCGATTTATGTCTAGGGTCTACATACCAAAATTTAAGTTAGACATTACTCAATACAATAGACCTTATTCATAAATCGTGATGGAGGCCTCGTATCCTAGGAATAGGATACGGGGAAAAAACGCGAGAAAATTGACAAAATGTTTTTTTGCTGTCGGCTATGGCAGCTCTTTTTCGAAAATATAATACGGCTTTTTTCGAAAATGTTATCTATAAAACTGAGCTTGAAAGTTGAAAAAGATACTTCTGAGAAAATATAACATGATATTTAAAGCAAAAGATGCCAGAGTCAATCGGAAAAGGAAACCTTTGTATTATTGTCGACTTGTCGGCGTATAGTTTGTAAGATCAAAACAACCATGCAACAAGGCTACAAAACGTCCATACAACACCAAAATCGTAACTGTCAACAAAAACATGGCTTTTTAATCATTTAAGGTAATTGAAACAAACAAAAAATACACTAGACCGGTAGTTTATACATCAATAAAAAGTTTCCTAACATTTAAGTTAAAAATTACCGTTTAAGACCGGGAGGCGTGTGAACATTTCTTGAAAAATTGTCGAATACCGAACTTAAGCACAAAAGTTAAGAAAACTATCGAATAGTTAATTAAGCATTTGCACACGATTAAAATATGGAGTAAATCATTACCCTTAAATATAGTCAACGCAAAAATTATACATGCCACGCAAAAAAAGTTATTGACAAAAATGTGGATCATATGAACCTACGAAAAATATCTTTGTATGGTTCAGTTAAAGAACGTTTTATTACAATAAATTTATCGACAGTCACCTTTGGTTTATTTTCTTGCATAATAGTTAATACTACTTCTTGCACATGTATAGACTATAATTATTTCTAGTTTTTAGGTTGTCACGTTCATTATCCCGCTTACATTTTCATAGAAAAGGCAAAGCATCGAAGTCGCTTCCATTTTGAGGTTTTGACAACATTCGGAACACTTGACATCACGTTCGCAATACAGATTTCAGTAATGTTGACGCATGCGCAGACGTCTTTCCGCGGCGTTGGACATACATACCTTCCATAGTAACACAATCTAAGTTGGCACTCTTGGAATACTGTGAGGCAACATCAATATCCCTACACATCAATGTTTTACCAAACACGGTCAACATCGCTTGGCGAAACTTTGGATCAAACTGAAGTTCACGGATCATTGGAAACACATCCTGCAATATACACATACACCTAGTTAACGCTGGATTACAGGAGTCTGGATAGTGGATACCCTCACCTGGTCATGACCAGGGGTGTGCACCTCCTGAAATTAAACTGGTCACCTGGTCATGACCAGGGGTGTGCCCGGTCCTGAAATTAAACTGGGTATACTACCTGGAGACATGCACCTCCCGAATTTCTCGAACGTTCTCTATAGAACGTTTGCACTCATTCCAACTCAACGAAAACCATGGCGGCCATGTTGGTGTTCCAGAAGAGTCTAATTAAAATTCTTTTGAATTGGAACGCCAACATGGCGGCTGTGACGTCATGTGCGAACGCTATGTACTAGATGAAACATCAGCAGCCGATCTGTATCTGATATACAAACTCGAGCTGAAGGTGAGAGTTTGTATATCAGATACAGATCGGAAGCGAATGTTTTATCGTACTTAAAAAATGACGCATCTTATGAGTTCATTGGCGAAGTAATTTTAAAAATAAACATTGTCTAAGCCGAGAAAATCAAAACTGAAGTTTATGTAAATCAGGACAAATCTTTATCCGATTTACAAACATTGATTAAACATTAATTTCTTTTGCATTTTCCTCGTGAATTATTAATGATTTTTAAAATATATTTGAAGATTGTTCTGAAATAAAATTGAAACACTGCGCGTCCTCCAAGACAAGCATTGAGTCGTTGCAAAACATTTTGCGCACTTAAAGTGGGTAAATCTAGCTATACCAATCTTTGACTCGACAGCTCAATTTGCGGAGGTCTAGAAACCCGAAGATGCGAGTTCGAGACAACAAATTTTTCGTGGTTCTCTGCAGTGAGAATAAATATAACACTATAGTTGTTTTTTACCTCCGCCACGAGGTAATGTTTATATCCGGGGTTGTATGTCTGTCTGTATGTGTGGGTTTGTCTGTCAGCACGATAACTTAATAAAACCGATAACTAAATTTCAACGCATTTCAGCACGATAACTAAAATTTCAACCTATTGACAAATACTGTACCCCCAAGATATTTTTATTAATGATCCGATATATTAGTATAGGAAATTACACCGTTCGAGAAGTATTAGAAAGTTTAAGCTTCGCGTTATACGTCAAACGGCAGGCAAAGAAACATTTTACGGTATCAGGCAAATAAAGAGTAAGTATACACTTGCTGTTTTAAAACTGAAATACATAATTATTCTTTCGAAGCAAGAACGAAAATATGAAAGAAAACGTCCAACAAAAATTTTGCCAAGAAAGTTCGAACCTGCCGTTTGCCGTTCCCGGAAACGTGAAGCTTAAACTCCCTATTAATGAAAAATCGCACGCGTGTTTGGTGAAATAATCATAAGCACGAGCGCTACTATAAATATTTCGCCAAGAGTGTGATTTTTCATTAATATTTCGAATTACTTGGAGAACAAGTGTAATTTCCTATTAGTATCATTTCATAGTCAATTTTACACAAGCAATCAATGACAATTGTATTTTATGTTTTCAATCATACACGCCTTTTTTAGAGCAACTTCTGGCATTAATTTTCAATTCATATATCTGTAATAATCTTTATTTCTTCTTTTTCTTCGTTATGAAAGCATAAATAAGTGCTCATTGTAAAATAAGAACTCAGAAAATGTACATTTTCAAGTTGTTTATTTGGATTTTGGCATTTTGTGTTTAATCATGCACGCGGGTTCGTATTCGTGCCGATTAATCTTAATACGCACACTGTGCGTATTAATGTTTAATTGGCATGCTTTTTAACCATTGGCCTGATTCAAACACGCAGGAATGTTGCGAGAGTTAAGAAAAGCGCAACATTCCCAAATATTTGGATCAGGCCATCCAAACACGGAAACTATAAAGTAATTGTTTTATAAATAACAACTTTCAGTGTTAAAATTTTACTTTAAAAAACTTTCACTTTAAATTTCCGTGTTTGGATGGCCTGATCCAAACAATGGTTTCGACCAATCAAAGCACGCGTTATATACAGGGTGTCTAAAAAAACGCTATGAAAATTCAACAGGATGTTGTGCATCATAAACTTAGCTAAACAATTTAATTTTTACATAGTACGAATGAGCAGTTATTTAGCTTTCCTATGATACCTTTTTAAACCATGCATAACGATGAGAAATGGCCACATACTCGTCAAATAAAAATTGCCGGTCGAAATCACATTCTTCCACCTTTGGCAATTGAAAATACATTAATTATGCCAAGTTAATCAATCCAAAAGCAACGCGAGCCTGCTGCAAGGTGTTCGTTTCGTAAAACGTTTTGATTACGTAAACCGTTTTGATTACGAATGTTCTCTGTTCAGTGGTTAATTGAACCATGTTTAATGCAATAATGGCCGTTCTTATTGTCTCACTAAGACGAAGATTTACGAGTTGAGCTCATTTTAGATAATTTAACATTCAACTTTAATTCCCTCTTGGGAATTGTCTATGTTTCGTTTCAATGCAATTCTCAACGGTGGAAGAATGTAATTTCGACCGGCAATTTTTATTTGACGAGTGTGTGGCCATTTCTCATTGTTACGATTTAAAAAAGAGTATCATTGAAAAGTTTAATAACTGGTCTTTCGGTCAAAAATTGGATTGTTTAGCCACTTTATGATGCACGACAGCCTGTTGAATTTCCATAGCGGTTTTTTTGAGACAGAGACACCCTGTACATGTTATTTTATAACTGTAGTTGTTCTTACATTATGTGAAGGATATTCGGTCTCCCTTGTATTCATCTTGTTGAGTGGCATAAATGTTGCACTTCCTGGCATTTTACGTCGGTTCATAATCTTGAGAATATCTGTGGCTGTTCTGTCTGAGTCGACCACCAAATGAAACAATCTACAAATACATAAAATTCTCTATTAAGCTCTCCTCTCAAATTATCTTCTCACCTTTATAATGAGTCCCTTTCACAACAAAGAACATATAGATACTGATTGGGGGGGGGGGGGGGG